CAATACGGTATATGTTATGTCCTCTCTCTGATGTGTTGTGAAACACAAGGAAATAAAGAATCTGAATTTGATGGTCACCAGTGTTACGGTCACTTTTGTATTAGTGATGCTTTCAATTCTCAATTTTTGCTTACCCCAGTTCAAATTAATTGCACAACAAAATAAGTGCATTTATATTTACAATAAAAACAAGGTGTAAAGACTCCTAAACCCAATCTCTCCACTCCAAACTTAACTCCACCTATAAATCAGTAAAACTACAAAGATCTACAAACTAACGTACTTTCTAACTCTAACCTTTGAACTCTGCTCTACATCTCCAGAACTCTCCTCTGAGTCTCCCTTACTTCATTCGTCAGAGTACTCAACTCAACTCAACTCCAGTACTTCCAACAGAATGACTTTAATCAGACTCTTAATCTCAACTACCTTACAATCTATCTCTTAGTCCTGCTACATAAAATACCTTTTAACTCTGCTCTACATCTCCAGACCTCTCCGCTGCGTCTCCCTAACTCAATCACCTTTGTCAGATTCCTAAACTCATCTCTATTATTCAGACTCCTAACATAACTACCTTACTCAGACTCCCAGCTCAACTACCTTGCAAGCTGTCCTTTAGTAGAGTCCTGTGACATACAAAAATGTTGATATATTAAATTGTTGATGCTTCTGAATTCCTGCTAAATTTGACCCCTATAAATCACCATAAATCCGGCTATATTTGACCCCGAGGTCAGCATTGCACGACTACTGACGTCTCAGGCTAAATTTCCCCCAACCTAGACTTCAGACGGTCACACTAATTTACAGATACCAACCTATGTCGTAAACACACTTATCTAAACATTGAAACTATTGAACGGTTTATAAATGCATAACAATACGATAGATGTGGTCAATTAATTTCTTGTTATTCATATAATATAATAATAATTGAAATCAAACAGGGGTATTATACAACACCATTCAGAATGATTAAGATTATGATATTCTAAGGAAAAATGAACAATGAATATGTTAAATAGAAACGTGTTCAAGGAAAAGCGGTTATATTTATCTTAATTACAAATATGGAATTCATTGCAGAATTGCGGCATACCTGTCGTTTCACAGAACGAAGATAAAACGAAAAGCGGTACCTCTGAAAACTCTACTTTAACGTTCAAATAGCTATTCAACAAATCAGCAATGCAACAGATTCGATCAGAACACAAGGATCACCGATGCTTTCACAAGCTCTTGCAGCCTTGCCACTGGTCTTAGTGCACATTGGTGCATGTTATCACGTGATCAATACAATGTTAGGCCTGCTATGTTTTCTTACCTCTTATCACCGAATATGGTTTATTTAAAGGTGTCTCTAACACTGTTGCGACACTTCCTGGTGTTTTAAATATAAACCTGCTTTGCCGTATAAACATTCATTTGACCTGCCATATTAACAACCCCTTTGGGTATACAGCCAGTGTTTCGTTTGCTTGCCATCTATCATAAATGTTGACGTGATTATGATCATGACCTAGGTAACAGATACCGTCGCTGGCGTTATCTGGGTCATGTACAGAGGCCACAAAGGTAGCCACTGACTGTACCTTGAGTTTCTCGTTATACGAGAAAGAAACCTATAATTACAAAAAATAAATTTGTAATTACGATATATTTAAATGTAAAAGCTTCTTATTGTTATCATAATGTATTATTATCATAATGTATTATCATCATTATGTATTATTATCATAATGTATCATAATGTAGTATTATCATTATGTATTATTATCATAATGTATCATAATGTATTATTATCATTATGTATTATTATCATAATGTATCATAATGTAGTATTATCATTATGTATAATTGTCATAATGTATTATTATCATAATTTCTATTCTTTAATGAATCAGTGCATATGCCCAGTCGGAAAATATAATGTTCATCCTCATACTTTCATTGATAAAATTGTTCAAACATGGATATGGAATTTAGTTAACATTTTAGTTGTGACATTGGGTTAGTTGTGACATTGGGTTAGTGAGAACAAAATGTGCAAAACGTTATTAATGTTGATATGTTTAAGATTCAATCACATGTTTGCCGTACGTTCATCTTTCACATGTCACGTCGAATGGCGTTGAACAACATAACAAATATTTTGACGCAACTGAAAACAAGCTTTTTGCTATATTATCGCAAGCGTTTACCTAACCCCTCATTATCAATGGGAGTACTAAGTTTTTGGGCTGTCTTTTGGTCGGCCTATTACAAACCTAGTCTAATGTCTGTATTCCTTGGTATGTTTGTTTTGGATGAAACCTTTGACATATTTGAATATTGGGGTCATTGGTCAAAGGTGAATATTATGTTGGGCACATAATGTTTTCACAACGGTGTGGTCAGGTCAGATCCTAACGTTGCATTTTGGTCCCCATAAGGTTGCATGTGAAAGTTTCCCTGACGTCTTTTTATAACGTTGCCATAACGTTGAGTTTAGTTCAATTCCTAACGTTACATTTTGGTCCGTAGAAGGTTGTATGTGAAAGTTTTCCTGACGTCTTTTCACAACGTTGTAGCAACGTTATGATATCCTCTGAATTCAACATTTATACAACGTTATACAAACGTTGTCCAAACGTGGTACAACAACAAAGACGATCTATTTTGATTTTGTTTTATTGAAAATATTGTGATACATGTATTACATGTATAAGGTTTATTCATCCACCACCCCTCTGCTATTTTGACATGGCTTGGCTTGCTTTAGATTCGGTGTCCTTCATATTCTTTATGTTGATTCTGAAACAATAAGATATATGTATTATTGACTGAAACATATGGATATAAACACATATTTAGAGAAAGATTCTATGTAATTAATGAATAATCGTCTCATTGTAGGACGATCTCGACTGTGCAAACACGAATACTTTATTAACACTAAAGTAATAGTAGTAAAACTGCACTTTTTGTTCCCGAAAAAATAAATTATATTTGTCAATATTGATTGATTTAGCGTATGATAAAAGTGACCACCCGCGTCAAAATATTTTCACTATATGACGCAACACGTCAACATATTTTCACATAGTGACGCAACACGTCAACGTATTTTCAAATATTGACGCAACACGTCAACATATTTTCACTTAGTGACACAACACGTCAACATATATCCACTTAGTGACACAAAACGTCAACATATTTTAAAATAGTGACACAACACGTCAACATGTTTTCACATAGTGACACAACACGTCAACATATATCCACTTAGTGACACAACACGTCAACATGTTTTCACAAAGTGACACAACACGTCAACATATTTTCACGTAGTGACACAACACGTCAGCATATTTTCACATAGTGACACAACACGTCAGCGTATTTTTTAAAATTTAAAACAACACGTCAACATATATAATATATTGAGATTGGATACTGGTTCATTTCACTAAATAATGAAAACTAGACAATGATCAATTTCAGACCAAAACTATTAGTATACGCATTCCTTCATAAAGATCCTTTAGTATTGCTTTGAACGATACAATTCATTATCTTTGACATCGCAGCAATTAACACAACCCTGGCGGATGCTATCGAGCCAAAAAGGTTGCTATGGAGATTGACCAGAATGACCGATCCCTTATCAGGATGTTACATCTGAACAGCCTCTGACTTCAAAATACACATATGCTAAGTGACCCTAGCCGTTAACATGCGTGGTGTAATACACTAAATGCCACTCGTTGATCTTATAAAGCACAACGTGACAGCAATGAAATTTACTAATTGTGAATTTAAAAACAATCAATAATTTCTGTTTCACCGGTTGGCTTGTCTAAAGTTATTTGTAATATGACCTAGGCCTAATGTATGCACACGTGTTGATAAATATATAGTGTCAATATAGTGAATTCCTCCAACGCTGAGGGGAAGAGAGAAATCCGTTATAATATGAAGCGCCTCGTAGAGAGTGGGAAATGAAAAACAAACATAAGGTTAAAACTATTATTAATCGTACATCATATTTATCAGGATTATCTTTTAACCCGTTAAATTCTATTTATAACACTAAAATGAACATGGGCAAACGTGCAATCGTTTTCTCATACATGGCCTGACTGATTAAACATCGTAGCTGCCGTATTTTTTAACACAATTATATTGCGTTAGTATAAAAAATGTGTTCATTCCAAAAACATACTACAGTTACATACTTTAATTGAAGTTCGCTCAATGGAAGGGATTCCTCAAAACAAGTGAAGAAATCATTGGTCTCTCCCTCGTCAGTTTTCCAGCACATACAGAGACAAATAACAGGAAGTGAGAAATACCGCTCAAATAAGCGGATGTAAACATTTGAATTGAATTAGATTAGGAATAGATATGGTAACAGCATAGATTAGTTTAGAATGTTTGGCTCCTTTAGAAATACTTCACAAAACATACCAAACTGAGATTAAAGTTAAAAAGATCTAATAATTTACAAATAATTGTGGTAGATCCATGGTCTATATATCAGTATTATAACACGGTTGCTGTTCGATGCTTTTCAATATTTCCAGCTATACATTTCCATTCGGTATCTTTTTATTAGTAATTTATTTCACATATATTGTGGTGTAACCAAATCACAACGTTGTCGCAACGTCAAATTCTAACGTTGGGACGATGTCTGATTAAAATAAACGTTGCCCGGACGTTGTATGGTGGTTGCCGACGTCGCAACCAGAACACAACGTTGTACCAACGTAAATACAACGTTATGTGCCAACTGGGATTAATATTTGTATGGTCCATGTTTTCGCAACAAATTTGACAACCCATTAACAAGGTCATGTATTGTTATTATTTGCCTAAGCTTATTGCCACTATTAAACACACGACACAGAAAAGCTTGTGATCATTCCAAACTTTTAGTGGAATTTAATAATTGTGTGCATTACTCATTTACTCTAGTTCACTCGTGCAAATACCCAGCAGACGATATAAACTACACTACAGCGTGGTTACTGTCGTCTGCTTTTGTAAACAAAGAGTATATTGGGCGGATGTAACTACATTTATAGTAAGATACTTTCTGACGAGATTTACTTTCACTTTCTATTACAGGATCATAACAGACATTAAAAGTATACATCTCTTTTGCAAAGATACCGTTATAACAAGAATTATTCGCATCAGTAGGAGTAACTGTGTCATATTTTCAGTTTCCTTCACGTATTTACGGGTAATAGTGGTATCATCTGCTACCCTTTCTTCCTTCTGTGTTCCGTTTTGGCCTCCGTATATGCCTCTATAAATAAGTCCACGCCATAGACGTTTCCTGGTATAAAGGAGGCACATTCACAGGTATTCCCAAATCTTGATCCTTTTCAAGCAGTTTACTGATGATCTGTGGTCTTCAACGGTTCTTTCTTCAAGACAGTTCTTACCAATATAGTCGAGGTTCTGCTATTTCTGTGAGTACTTTTTCATTTGTATCGTACTGTTTACTTCTCTGGGCTATTCTGCCGGAGTTTTGTTTACTATCGCATCAGTGATATAGGGATAATAATGTGATGCCCGATTGCAAGTTTGATACACTGTTGTTCTATTTTCTTGAAAATGTACTCAAAGTTAATAAGTACTCTCGTAATTAACTAAAATGAGAATTTTGTCAATGCTAAAAATAGCACACACGCCAATTCACAGCGTGTGTAACATAGCTCGTAGCACCCACTACACTGTGTGTGTTTACGTGAGTCCAGAGGGGTGTATATATATATACACGGCCAAACATGGAGCGAGGCATCCATGTCTTACAGACACATTTCTATAGTTTAAAAAAAGATATATGTCATTGATACATTGTATAACATAATTAATGCAAGGTCTCGTGTTTCCGGGACCTGACAACAGAATTCAGCACTTTCAAGCACTTCATTCGTATGCCCAGAATAACTACGTTGCACTTGGCCTCTTGTCATGTTAGACAATATTTTACTAATATTTCTTTTTCACAAGAAATAATTTCGTTTGCAAATGATTGTTTACACTTTCACTACTGTTAAGACAAGTATTACTTGTTTATGTAAAAATTAATTTAATTTAGCTTTTGATACACCTTTCAACAGATTTGTTCCGGTACATCAAATTGACACAAGAACGCATAATTATCGAAAGTTTAATGAGTTATAGGCATATAATCTGGCAGCACAGTAAGTCATATCAGGACACATTCCTCAAAATCCATTTAGATATAAAGTACAGGTTACGTAGACATATCTATAGAAAGACTCTTTTTGTTTCCATTAAAGGCTCAACAGGAACATTCATATTACAACGCAATGATCACTTTTGCAAGAATACCGTTATAACAAGTTTTATTCACATCAATAGGAGCAACGCTATTCATATTGTTTTGTTTCTTTCACGTATTAAAGTGGTATTTGTGGTTTTCCTTATTCTGAGGTTCTGTTTGGCCTCCATACATGACTAAAATAGCACATAGACAGGGGTTATATACATATATATTTACACATAAGTCCTAGTCACGGAGGCATTCACACACTAACGATCGCTTCAAAACAGTTTTCTAACTCATCAGGTGTGCCTGTGTATGTTTTGGATGTTCATTTCTTCAAAACAATCCCCACAAACATAAACGAGGTTAATGTATGTGAGTACAATGTAATCATTGAATCGTACTTGCATGCTTACGAGCCTTTTTATGTAAGAAACAAAAGGTAAATGACCAGGTAGCTCGATGTTATTTATATTTGTTATAATTCTAAATCAATTCTTACATTGTTTATAAAATGTCTCAATGAAAAGTGCTTAAATTATTGATAGCAGCACAGTGTCTGTCTTGGTCAAAATTAATCTGTATTGTCAGTGTCCCCGAGTTCACAAACATATACAAATTACACTGTAATAACGGTGATACTTGGGCTACAAATAATGCTATCCCTCTAGGTAGATATGTATGTAGCCATTGGCCTCTTGTAAACTAAACGAGAGACACACATATATATCATCTGTCGTTAAGATAACAATGTATACACGCTAAAGTGGAGCAGTATACTGACCGAGTTTAGCAACTCTGGGCCTTGCAAAGGGTCTCCAAACAAATATATAACATCGTTGAAGATTACAATTTGGACTACCCACAGATATAAAACCTCCTTCAGTTACCACCCACGATATATTAGCAGGAGGCGGAATGGTGACTGAATTGTGGGTTTTTACGTACACGCATGTAGCTTTACATACACATTTGTACATGTTAGGATTCATACCCTGAATATGTTTAGCTCACCAGGTCCGAAGGACCATGGTGAGCTTATGCCATAATGCAACGTCGGTCGTCCGCCGTCCGTCCGTCAACTTTTCCTTTAAAAAGCTACTACTCTTGAACGGCCTAGTAGATTTTGACTAAATTTGGTCTGGAACATCCTTAGGCCAAGGGGACTCGAGGGGTGGGGCCTAGTAGGTGAAATAGAGGGTAAACCTTTAAAATCCTTCTCCTACTGTAGGGATTAAAGGATCTTATACTAATTTAGTCTGGAGCATTCTTTGGCCAAGGGGACTCAATTTTTGCATAAACAGTGAGTGTGACCCCCAGGGGGCAGAGGTGCGGGGCCAAATAGAGGAAATAGAGGTACAACTTTAAAATTCTTCTTCTAATTAGGTCTGGAGCATCCTTGGGCTAAAGGGACTCAATTTGGTATAATTGGTTTGTCTGACCCCCCTTGGGACAGAGAGGCAGGGTCCAGTAAGGTGTGAAAGAGTGATAACTTTGACCAGGGGGAGAGTCAGACAGGGAGAGGTCAGAAAGTCTAATTAATGAGTTATGCCAGTGCAGCGGCTGTGTGAAGAGCGTGTCAGGAGAGGTTATCTGATATTTAGATTGTTTTACGGTTAGAACGTGTTGAAATTCTATCAGATGTGAGAGTTTATAATCTGAGAGTCCGGGAGCGAGCTGATGAGAATTAACAGGTGTTGGGTGTGACCAGAAAGGGGAAGAATTAAAAGGTTAATATGTTTGTGTGTAGCCAGGTGTGGTACGAACGTTTGAGTGCCATCATGTGAGCAGTGAAAGTGTAGCGGTGTGCGTATGGACATGTACATGTACCTGTATGTATGTATATAGATGTAAATAAACTGTAAATAGAATTCAGTGCATTGTTTATTAATTTCGGCATCAAGAACAAACTAGTGGCTCCGTCACAAAGGGATATAGAATAATAGCTTTAATATCCTTTTTCTTTAGTTGGAATGAAGGTATTTTGACCAAATGTGAACTGTAGCATCCTTTGGGGAGGGAAATCAATTTTGTATGTTACAGTGCTATAATGGTGTATACAAATCCACTAAACACTGTTGGGTTCGATTCTTTGATGATTATTCTGTGTATTAAAAAACTCTGCAAGTACAAAAAAACAACACATTACACATTCACTCAGATATATCACATAGTCTGTTAACATCAAGGGTCACATCTCTTACATATATTTAATTTATCACAGTAATGCATAATAGTATATTAGAATAGAGGGATACGTTTGTTTTTATTCAATGAGCTCCATATAAAAATACGATATTTTTTTTACAATGAACATCAATAATACTGAATTTACTTCATAATTGATATGAAATTACGATATATTAACATACAAAATATATCTAAATATAAAAGAATACATTTTAAACTTACCCCACAGATCCTGCGGGGTTTACAGAAATTCCCTTTGTCTTACAAGCGACGTATGCCTAGCAGTTGTTACAAAGTGTTATACGTGAAATACCCGTTCTCTAATTCTTCAAATTATGATTGGGAAAACCTCCCAATATCAAACGTAGTCCTTTATCGTTCAATGCCTTGGTGCTGAGTGATATTAGTCAATTAAAAATCATGCAGTTGTTAACTAGACCAATAAAAATGTCCGGAGATGTCATGTGACACATGTTTACATACAGGTAACACACAAACATTAAGGGTCCTCGCACCACATTCTTTCATCATACAACTATGCTACCAACCAATCATTTAAGATTCCTTACACCAAGACCTTTCATAATAATATGAAACGGCAAAGCCTTAAAAGAGCGAAGCTTTTGTTGATCACTGATATTTACAGATTCAGAATGAGATAATACTGCGTTCAGAATGAGGCAAAATAAAATGTATTTAAAGTCGGCTAATCGAGGGATAATAATAAAACATAAAACAATAGGGGAGATCCGAGCATATTCGGCCCATTTTTATTGAAGTTCGTTCTGGGAATTATGGCAGTACGTCCATTTTGAACATTATTTAATTTTCCCTGTCGGATGATCGGATGGCCGAACGAGCCCCGCAATGGGATAAGTTCGGACAGACAGAAGGACAGATAGACAGACAGACAGACATTATGTATTTCCTCCTTTAGGAGATTTCATATGTCAAAACAGTTTGACAATATGTATTTTAACTTATATATATAACATAGTTTTGAGAAGTAAATGTATTAAATATTGACGTATTTGACATTCATATAACTGCATTATATAATTCATAATACAAAATGTTCACTACAATATATATTCCTCATACATCTTTTACATATATACGTATACACTTATATATACATCAATAGGTTAATTATACAGAACTCTCCATCTCACATACCATTCCTTTGATATTTCCAGCCATATTTATCATCAGTGTTTCCCACTCTATATCAGTCAAGTATACATGTGAATGATCACCAAGTAAAAAGCTTCATTGGTCTTCAATGCTTAATTCTGAAAACTGTACATATTACAATACTTCTATAGCATTTACAACACCATCCATCATTTTATCACGGCTTAAGTATAAACCTGGACATTCTAATATAAAATGCAACACAATATCTTTACTTGTTTTCTCACATATCTTACATATAACGACTTCATTCTCACAAAATATTGAGTATTTAAATAACCCTACTAGATCCCATACATGTCGTTGAGAAATTTGTTTAGTGCTTAGTTGCAATGTTGGATTTATTCCCGGATCACTATGGTTAGCAGTATATCTCTTATGTTCAGCACGTGTATTTAGTTTATCTTTCCACCTTATGTAATAAAAACATATACAAATCTATTAATGAAACGTTTCCAGCATAACATCGGTGGTACGAATATATTTAGAACATTGTCATTAATAAATGACTCTATTTTAAATTTAACCATTATGTTATATATATCAGGCAGAACTCCTATTTGAGTAGTTGATGAACTACCATACATAAATTGGCATAGTCTAATAATAAAAAGTGTTTCCATAAAAACTTAGCACCCTCTTAAACACAATTTGTTCCAAAATAATAGTTTCCTTCTCTCCACTTCGCTCCACATATCAAATGACCCTAAACACTGAACAGTCACTGCTGAGTAGGAAGTTTTAAGAAGACCAATACAACGTCTACAGGCATATCTCTTTGTATGGTCCAAC